GACTTTAGTGGCAGCAGCAGCAGCGGCAGCAGCCGCGCCCGCTCACCCAGGTGACCCGCCCCCAGAGTTCAATACCATTCAAGACCGAGATCAACCGTCTAACCTAAATCCATCTAAATCCAGCGAGGTTCAGCGAGCTGTGCGAAACCGATACTACTACGGTGGAGATTCCAGGCTTGTGAATGCGGCGCTGAGGGCCACCCATGAGGGGATGAGGGAGTTCATCGAAAGGCAGACTGCAACTGGTGTCAGGACTGTCACCAATGAAGAATCTTACGGGTTGCTACTTATGGCCCAGATGAACACCTTACTTCTTAGCATGCTGAACCACAACATTTACGCGGAAGGAGACGCGAAGAAATTGCAGTTAAGAACCGAGCATTTAGAGATCCACACTATCTTGCAACAAAAGCACAATGGACCAGGTGACGAAGATAGCCGAGCCGATAACATAAGGAAAAAAACAGTGTTAGCGAATACAGGGCCACGCAGCAGCTCAAGACTTTGATCCGCGATAGGGCCGAGTTCCGCGAATGGAGCGACAAATTGCTGTAAGCCCTATGTAGTCCAAGTGAGGCCACAATACCGAAGAGCACCAAATAATGTGGGCGGCATGCTGGATTCCATGGGCGGGACATTACAGGACGAACACGACGGCTTCAGAGTAACGATCCTCAACGGTCGGTTGACAGAATCAGAGCATGCAAAAGCCAACGTCGTAAAACAGCAGGACGACGATGATAAGGGAGAGTTCGAGATCAGTGAAGAAAGGCTGCGCAAATTAAAGGGGAGATATGGTATATACTGGACGAATCAGCAAAAGGTTTTGCATTCAGGGAAAGGTAAAGGGCCCAGAGAGGAAGACGGACTGCCAGCGCACCATGGCATATACCAATGGCATACAGCAGTAATCAACCTAGCCATGAGGCGGACAAGCCGAAGAAGATCAGTAACGTCGCCAGCTAGTTAGAACAGTGGGCTGCGCTGGTAGACATTTTGGAACATATGTTCCGGCTTATTCGTTAAACCTTCCATTTCGCATAAGTGCCCCGAGAACCATCATGACTCGCGCCGGGGCTGGTTCGAGGGGTGGCACCAGGAGTGTTTTAAGACACCAGATTCGCCCATGAAAGAAAACTACCAAACGTTGTACGTTACGTGCAAGAACCCGGCACGCAAGACAAGGTTAGATGCTGACGCGCGCAACCGCGACGCCATGGGCATCAGGGGCGTTAGCGGAGGCAGCGACGACCAAGGCAACACTTGGGATTCCCACGGAAATGCAGAGGCTCACTCATGTAAACGAGGATGGTCACTGGCTGGCCAGCGAGCCCAACTGGGGGCACGAGGATGATCGCGATGGAGGAAAACGAATATACACAGTTAGCAGAGGCAGCGGGGAAGGAGGAAAAGGGCTCGAGTGCTACATGCGCGGGTTCTTCGGGCGCATCGCGGCGACCCGCCGGAAAGGAGGCGGGAAAGGTAACAAAGGAAAAGGTGGAAGCAAGGGGGAAATTACACGCGGGCAGTATGATCAGGGGAAGAGCCAAGGAAAGGGCGGAAATTACAGCAATGACGGCGGCCAAGGACCCGGGAGTTGAACACAAGGTGGTCTCGCGCCGATAAGTGACCGCGAGCGTTGGAAATGTGGAGGAAAAAAGGAAGCATCGCAGTACGACGCGCCGAAGAGCAACGCTGAGAGCCGAGCAGCACAGAGAGACGAAGGTGAAGTTTGACAACCCTCGGTGGACAAGCGGGACGTAGAGCATCTCACTCGGACAACCCATGCTAGGATGCTACGGAGTGCACCACCCCAGTGAAACACCCGGTCTGCTCGGCCGGATGCATTGATGCCACGAAAGGAGAAGGAACCATTGGTTGAAGAAGCTGGCGTGGAAACCGCGTGCCAGGAAGGACAGTTGTTGCTCAGGGTGCTCCCATGACGCCAACTAGCAAGCCAGGAAGCGGGAAAGCTTGCAAGCGGAAACATATTGCGCTATACATGCGTTCTCCCCCCGTCGTCTCCATCGGCCACTTTGCCCAAGGGGGATGTTAGAACACGGCCCTGCGACTGGGTGACGGGTGTGGTGATACGGTGATACAGTTCGCCGAGCAGCTGTCTTCACCGACGCTGTTTGGTCTCTCCCTATCTGCTCACTTGGCCTTTCCCTCGGTCCTCTCCTCTCTTCTCTCCTCCCGCTGTCTCCCCTCGTCCTCCCAAGCGGTGCGGTGACCACACCGTGTGGTGAGCCAGTGGGGGTTCGGGGTCGCCGCACGGTCTTGGGACTTGGGTCGATCTCCGAAGACACCTCGGGCGACGGGGACCTCAGGGGGCCCCGAAGCCGTGCGGTGGCGGACTTCGCGGCGAGGCCGCTGGGGGTTCCGAGGTCAGGCTGGCGCACGGTCCGTCACCACATGGTCTCGGGGCCCCGAGTCCCCCTTCGCCCCTCGCCGCCCCCTGCCTCCCCCGGCCGTCCCCGCTTGAAGCCACCGCGGCCAGGCGCCGGGCCCAAGAAGGGACGCTAAGCGAGGCGCAGATGAGCCACTATCCGAAGGACTTCGCGGCGCTGCACGGCTGAGGCCCTGATAAGACCCGCCCTGGCTCCCCCATCCATGGCGGGCCGCCTCAGGTTGCTGTGCAGGCAGCGGAAAAAGTCCGTGTCCTCTGCTCCTTCCCCTTTCTCCCCGACAGTTCCCCCCCGTGTCTCCCAATCCGGCTCTGCCATCCCCCCTCCTGGACTCACCCCATCATGTCCTCTTGGCGTTCTCGTCCCCATCTTTGTCTGCCCCTCCTTTGGTCGCCCCGGCTGCTTCCGCTACCCCCTCCGCCTGCCTACAGACGTGTTGCGTGCGAACCGCATCGCAGCGTATCCTCGTCTTCCCTCCCTTCCCCTCGCCTACACATTGTCGACTCTTTGCCCATTTTCTCTCCACCTGTCCCTCCCCTCTCATTCCACCCCATCCCGGCCCCCCTCTCACATCCCCCACCGTTCTGCCCATCCCGCCCCCCCTCACTCCCCCCCTACGCCCCATGCCCCATGCCTCCTCTGTTCGTCCCAATCAGGCGGGCACTGCATCACTCGAGGTGTTGAGACCATCATCGCCACCCACACGCGGCTCCCCGCCTGGCTCCCCGCCCATGTCGGCACGCCCCTCGCGCGTCCCCGGGGCCCCACAGGGAGCTCCGTCGAGGCCCCCCGTGGGAGCGTCCACGTGCGGCTTCCCCCGCCCATTTCGGCACACCCCTCACGCGTTCCGCGGCCCGAGAGGGACCCACCGGAGGCCCCCACCTCGTCCAATTGCCCCTCAGCCGGTCTCCACACCTGTCCTCCCCCCCACCCCCTCCCGCCCCCGTACAGTGCCGTTTTTGATATATGCTCCGCGTGCGGATCATGTATCAAAAAGGCAGGGACTTGGTATTAAAAACAACGATGAGTTCATGCATAAATTTACGCATAGATGAATCATGGTTTAAAAACCTTATATGTTAAAAAATTCTATGTATTAAAAACTGCCCTGTAATCGGGAGGGGGAGGGGGGAGAAGGGAGCGCGGGCGTGAGGGGCAGGGGTCTGGGGCACAGGGGCGGGGGAAGGAGCCGCGACGGGGCGGCGCCCAGCCCCCCGCTATTCTAAGCCGCTTGAAGCGAACAGCCTTTGTGCCCCAGCGCCTTCTTTTCTTTGCTTTGGGGCAGGTCAGGTCAGGTCAGAAGCCTTGCGCCAGACGGCGCGAGAGCAGGGTGAAACAAGACGATTGTGCCTGTGAAGGGGCCCCTTCGACACTCCATCCAAATCAGGCTCTGCAAAGCATGTCTGGTTGAAATGTGACAGGAGGAGGAGGAGGAGGAGGAGGAGGAGGAGGAGGAGGAGGAGGAGGGGAGGAGGAGGAGGAGGAGGAGGAGGAGGAGGGGGAGGAGGAGGAGGAGGAGGAGGAGGCGGAGGGGAAAAGGGGGGGCATACGTCAATCGTGCCATGATCTGACAGCTGCCTCCCACGCTTCAGCTGTCAGATCATGGCAGCTGACGCGAGAGTGCCCCAAGAGGGTCTCCAGGGGACCCAAAAGGGTTTCAAGATCCCCCAAAGAGTTCCAATAGGGCGCCAAGAGGACACCGAGAGCGCTGCACACCAGCGGAAGCACCAGCTTCAGCAGCACCACCAGCAACCCCACTAGCGTCAATACCAGCAGCAGCACCGGCAGCAACCAGCAGCAGCACCGGCAGCAATCAGGAGCAGCAACCAGCAGCAGAACCAGCATTTCAGCAGCAGCACTAGCATCAGCACCAGCAGCAGGAGCATCACCACCAGCAACATACCAGCAATAGCACCATCAGTACAAGCAGCAACACCTGCAGAGGCACCAACAAAACGACCAGCAGCAACATCAGTAGTAACACCACCGGCAATAGCGGCAAACGCAGCAGCAGAATCTGCACCATCACCATCATCCGCGGCAGCAGCAGCACCAGCAGCAGCACCACTAGCAGCAGCACCAGCACCGCCAGTTGCAGCACCATCAGCACCAGCAGCAGCATCGCCAGCAGGACCAGGAGCAGCACCAGCAGCACGAACACCAGCAGCAGCGACGGCAGCAACAGCACCAACAACAGCAACGGGAACAGTGGCACCAGCAGCGCAGCACCACCACCCGAACAGCAGCAGCAACGGCAGCAGCACCAGGATCACCCCGACCAGCAGCAGTGGCAAAGGCAGCAGCGCCAGCAGCAGCACCTCCAGCAAAGCAGCAGCCGCAGCAGCAACACCAGCAACAAGAACACCAGCCACTGCTCGGAGTCCCCGTCCAAGTTCTCGTGATTCTCCAAGCTCTGTTTCGCGATGTGTGTGTGTGTGTCTCTTCCTCTATGTACACGTCGGCTCTCAGGAGCATCGTTTCTGGATTGGCCGGTGGGGCTGCGCGAAGCTAAGCGGGCTATTTTGAAGAGTCGTGCCACGCGCACCAGCCTGACCACGGTGCGCGTTTATGTCGGAATGGCGGCCCCGCCCCGATTCGTTGCAACGACATTTTTATAAAATGGTGCGTGTAGTTTTGTTGTTTTTTCCTGCTGGAATTGCACCATGGCTATGTTCAACAAACCATTGTGTTTTCTCAGAGTTTTGAAGCAACTCGTGCAACTCGACACCCGGACTCCGTCATAAATGGTGGGTATGTACAAAGATCAACGACGGCTCCACATGGCGCCGAGACGGCATCCAAATGGCGCGATAATTATGGCCCAAGATGATTGTCGGCATGGCCCAGACAAGGTCTCCAGGGGGCTCCGAAAAGGTGGCCCAGTGGACCCTAGCGAGCCCGCGCGAGCTGTTCGACAGCACTGGGCGAAAAGTGCCAGGGGAAGGGGGCGGCGAAGGATCAGGAAGGGGTGATCGCGACGATGATGTGTTCGAGCCAAACGGCTGAGGACATGCCTTGTGCCCAACCAGCTACGGAAGGGAGAAAGGCGAGGAGGGGGAGGGAGCGAGGAAAGGAAACGCATTAGGGAGGGTCGCGGGGTCGAAACAATCAGCTTGCGCATCCCGAACGACAGATGCCTGAGGCGCCCATCCCGAGTGGAAATTGCACATGTTTACTGTAGTTTTGCGCTGCCTAGAAGCCCTCGCGCATCTCCAACTGACGTTTCTTCAGAGGTTCCTGAACGTCTCGCAGAAACGCCGAGGTATCTCACCGGGTGCCTCACGTGGTCTCTCGCATGGCGTTTAACAGAGATTATGAAAGTTGGGTTCTATAAGGCCCCCGAGCGTCTTTAGAGGGTCTGATGTCCTTCCCAAACGTTCCGGAATCGACCGCCCAAACCATCCAGACCAATCGGACCAATCCAATCAGACCAACCAGATGAACGCTCCCGACCAATTCAACCAAACAGACCCAATGAGACAGAACGTCCGAATCAACCATGCAGCCCCGACCAGAGCAACGAAGTCCGCAAACCCAGATCGGATCAAGAGGGCGGCCGCCGTTGTTCTCGGCTTAGGGGGTTGCGGAGTACAGAGAGGCTCCATCGCCGAGCTTTGCCGTGCAAAAAACCGCAGCGGAAAACAACTGCAATTCTGAGCACTGTCGTCGGCGCGGTGATCATCGCACTTCGCCCCCCTGCTCCTCCCCAAACCTCTTGCCGTGGAAATGCGAATCCAGGAAATCACAAACTGAAGGTAAAACACATCTGCGGGACGCAGAAAAAATGCAAGGCAACAAACTGCAGCGCTAAACAACTGCTCGTTGGCGCCGTGGGCTTCAGATCCTCCCCAGACCTCCCCAAGCCGCTCCTGCCTTGCACGCGGAATCCAAAGCTGAAGCTAGACCGGCAAAGTTGCAATCCAAAAAGTCACAATGCAGAAGTGATTGCAATGCAAACAAAAATGCAGCGCAAAAAAAGGCAATTCGTATGATGATCGTTGACGCAGTGGGCTTCAGACCCTCCCTGGACCTCCCAGACCGCTCTCGCCTCGCACGCCGAATCCAACGCTGAAGCCAGAACGGCAAAGCTGCAATGCAAACAAAAATGCAATGCAGGCAAACATCGCAATGCAAACAAAGACCGCAATGCAACAAAAAACCGCAATGCAAAAAACTGTAATTCTGATCATGGTCGTTGGCGCCGTGGGCTTCAGACCCTCCCTGGGCCTAACTCCTCCCAGGGCCTCCCCAGACCGCTTTCGCCTCGCACGCGGAGTCCAAAGCTGAAGACAGAACGGCAGAGCTGCAACGCAAAAAAATGCAGCGCAACACAAATGTAATTCCAATCATGATCGTTGGCGCCGTGGGCTTCAGGCACCTCCTGGACCTCCCCAAACCGGTCTCGCCTCGCACGCCGAATCCAAAGCTGAAGCTAGAACGGCAGAGATGCAATACAATAAAAATTGCAATGCAAAAACAACAGCAATGCAAACAATTAGTTCTTATCATGGTCGTTGGCGTCGTGGGCTTCAGAACCTCCCTGGACTTCCCCAAACCGCTCTCGCCTCGCACGCGGAATCCAAAGCTAATGCTAAAACAGCAAAGCTGCAATGCAAACAAACATTGCAATGCAAACACATTGCAATGCAAACAACATATGCAATTCTGCTTCAGACCCTCCCTGGGCCCTGGACCTCCCCAAACCGATCTCGCCTCGCACGCGTCTCGCCTCACCGTTCACGCGGAATCCAAAGTTGAAGCTTAAGCTTCATCTTCGGCCTTTCGTTTTGATGCTTGGCGTCCCGCCGTGCGCTAATTACAACGGCTGAGAACTTTCCGCGAGGCCGAGCCGACCACAGACCGAGATGCCAGTATCATTTGCAGCAGCTCCAAACTAAAACTAGGGTAGTTTAGTAGTTCGACACTGAGTTCAGCCGTCGTTTTCTTATTCATTGTTTTGCCGATCGGCGCGGGCCCTCGCACCCCCCCTCCCCCCCCCTCATGGAGTACATTTTGGCTGTATTTGGCGCCTGTTTCGAGTAGGTAGAGCCTCCCCCATAATGGACGCACTGCTGCAAACAGTCGCACTACGCAGAGGTCCGGAGCCAGACCCCCCCCTCCCCCTCCCTTCCTCCCAATGTCGAAACGCCGAGTAATCCGTAGCCATTTTGGCTCAAGCCATTACAGTGGTTCAGCACCGCAAAGTGGAGGATGCGATTGATGCCGCAAGCACCCGGAGAAGTGGCAACAATGATCCCAATTCGAGCAGCGCTGCCGCTATACTTTCTCATGTTTGGGGCCACTGGTGAGGTTTCCAAGTGCACAGGAGACGCTTGCATGGGCGAGGATGATGCGTTTGCACTTCTGGCGACGCGGTTCCATGCCTCGCGTTTAACAGAGCACCCTAAAACCAGTTTTTCTTTGATCGAACCAGACCCGACCCTGTTGATTTGGGATAAGAATACGTCTGGTTATTACCCAACCACTGGTTTTTTCGAGCTGAGCGGTTGGCTAAAGGTGCCGTTGAGTCACGAAGACGTGCGCGTATCACCAGACGCAAAAGTACCCCACGTGTGCTTGCGCATCATGGCACTAACCAAATCGGAGAATCCGTCCCTTGGCGCAATGCTAATGCATTGCGGGGGTCCTGGCAGCGACCGGATGTGCGCACATACTGGTGCGAACTTGTTCGGCCAATATGATTTTGCATTTCTCGGTATCAGCCAGCGTGGCGTTCAAGATGCTGCCACTTCATGCCCGTTCGAAGAGGCTGACGGAGCACCAGTGACCCCGTTCCCATACTTGTCTTGTGATGAGATTTACAAGACTTTGTCCGCTGGGTTGAGCCAATCAAATTACACTTCGGTTGAGGCCTACTCGATGCAGGTGGAACGCTTGAAGAATGCCTTAACAGATTTCATGGGCGAGGACGCACCAGAGCCATCAGAGGAAGATATCAAGATCATGTTTGCTATACTACGGTATGGTGGGCTTCCGGTTGATGGAGTTCATGGCGTCACGTATTTGAACGAGACGTACGTCCGGTGGTACTATAGGCTTGTCCAGCTTGAGGGCACTCTGTGTACGGATGCACCACGGTACAACAGCTTGAGGAAGGCGGACGGGCAAGCGTACAATTTGTTCCGGTACACTGGCACCGAGGATTTAGCGCAGGATATTGATGTATTTCGCCGCGCGATTGGCCAAAATAAGTTGTCTATTTACGGATTGTCATATGGGACGGTTGTTGGTTCGAACTATGCTACTCTGTTCCCTAATCACACTGATCGTTTGGTTCTGGATGGCGTAATCCCTCCGGTTCTTGAGACGCATACCTTACCAACGCATCAGCAGAAAGGGTATTCTAATGTTTTTGAGGCAGTCTTCACTGACTGTTTCGAATCCCTCTACCGCAACGCGTCAGAAGAAGAACGGTGTCCACTAGCCCCGAGCCCTTCTTCCAAGGTCCAACATATGATCAACGACAAAACAAACCTTGCCCGCGCGGCAGCTGTTGCCAACTACTTCGACAATATAGCTTGTGGGAATGATAACGCCTGCATTGACGGTGCACCGGCAACAGTGGCTTGCGCTGCAGCTCTTTACGAAGGGGCGCAGACGCCTGAATATTGCAACGTGAGTGCGGTGTCCGAAGCAAAGCCAGAGAATGCACCACTGGGTCCAGGTACTGAGAACGACCGATTCTATGAAACTCAGAAAACGATTATGAGCGCTGTGATTGGCTTGGACGCTCCTGGAAGGTACGGCGAGGAAGCACTCATCGCGCTGTGGCAGGACCAGTTGAGGGCGTATGGCATGGCAGTCAGGCATTACATTGAATGGATGGTCCCGTGTTCGACTTGGCCGATGTACTCGAAACCGCTTCCTCCAGCCGGCAACGAACGCATTCGGGCATTGGTGATCGGAAATTTGCACGACCAGGCGACCGACTTTGGCGGCGCACAGCTCATGAGGCAGGCATTCCCTTCAGGCTCGCTCATGACCTACCAGGGATTCGGCCACTGTCTGGCCGTTAGATCCTTTGAAGTGGTGGGCGCAACGGGTAGCGAGGTCAACAGCGTTCAGTCGATCAACCATTGCAAGGATCTCATCGACAAGTACTTGGAGACACTGGAGCTCCCCTTCGACGGCCATGCTTGCCATCTCTACAGTCCTCTGAGCCTCGGTCCAGCAGCGGTTGAGCGCTACCTTCAGAGTCATGCCAACGATTCAATTAACCGTAGAGGGAGGTGAGCCAGACTGGAGGCCGAAGCACGCGACGCGAGCCGTTTCACCACTCCTCTTAAACGCGAGATGGTTATTTATAAATACCACATCAGCCAAGCACCTAAAAACGGTGTTCGGCCCAAAAGTTTCGTGCATTCCCTGGCAAAGAGGCCTCGCGTGCAATGCGGGTCATTCTTGCGTGGCTCGCGGGTGCCAGCTACCAGATTTGAATAGGAATTAGGAATGTCTTCGGCATGTAGAGAGGGCAGCGGCAGCCCGCCAAGCGTTCGAGTCTGCGGTATTTCACTCGCATCTTTGCCAGTGACGGGGGTGGTCCTCCTGCGAGGTCATTCGTTGCCGTTGGAGGCAAGGTACACAGCATAGCAAAAAAAAAAAAAAATGTCGAAACGCCGAGTAAAAAAACGCTCACTATGCTAAGATCATGCAGCGCTGTCCTGGAGCTACATACGGAGATTAGCCTTCCCTCAACGCTGGGTGTAAAATGGTTGCGCCATACGGTGAAGTAAAGACGATTGGGCGTTCAAGCTGCACGTACAGCCATCGTGTGGATGTGAGTTGCAGCCAGATAGGTTCTGCCCAGCTAAGGCGTGACAGGTAGAGCGAAACGCCAAGCCGAACAATGAAGCAGCGACTTGGAAAGGTCATGTCTTGGATATGAAGCAAAGCATATGAGGCAACTGCGCTGCAGCCCGTCGACGCGAGTTTCACCATAGCGTCGCGGAGGAGGAGGAGGAGGAGGAGGAGGAGGAAGGTGAGGAGGAGGAGGAGCAGGAGGAGGAGGAGGAGGAGGAGGAGCTGGAGGTGGAGGAGCAGGAGGACGAGGAGGAGGAGGAGCACCCTGTGCAACTCCCAGCAGTCGGGAGAGGGGCGTTCCTCCTGCCGCCGCCTGCCGGCGAGCAGCCTGCCCTAGCAGGCCCGCCTGCAGCGGGCGCGCACCACGGAGCAGGCCCCCCGGCAGCAGGCGCGCATGGTGGAGCAGGCCCGCCAGCCTGATGGAGCGGCAGCGCGCGTGCTGCCCAGACCCGCGAGCAGCAGGCGTCGGTGGTCAGTCCATCCCTCCCCCTCCCAACTCCCTCCCTCCCCTTGTTCTCGCTCGGACGTGTTTTTTGTTTTTCTGTTTAATCTTGGCAAGGACCATCGAGGAGCATGTTGCGTCATCTTGCGAAGCCATGCGCGCACGAGGCCGAGGAGAGACCCAGGAAAAAATGGACGTCAGGCCGATGGCGAGTCCCACATTCTCCTCCTCACTGCCCCCCCCGCCTTGATGCTCCTGATCCTCCGCCACCCTTCTCGTTTCCCTTCATCTCTAGGGGAACAAAAAGTGACATAAACACAAAAACTCGGAGGTCCGTGCGGATTTCTCGGATCGGCGCTGGACCCCCCTCCCTTGCGCGCGGAGCGCGCCAGGGGCGGCGCCGGAGGTGCCGCCGGGGGGCCCCAGCGCCGATCCGAGAAATCCGCCCGGACCTCCGAGTTTTTATGTTTATGTCACTTTTTGTTCCCTTCATCTCTTCCCTTCCCTCGTCTGCAGCCCCTCCTCCTCGTCCACAACCCTTCCCCTCGTGAGCAACTCCTCCCTGGCGCACCCCCGGACGTGTCGGTCGGGCGGACCCGGGCGTTGCGGCTGAGATCCTGAGATTTCCTTACCTTGGCATCGCTCGGACGTGTGCATTTTCTCTCGGCGAGAACCATCGAGGAGCATCCTTGATCATTTGGCGAAAAAACCACGCACGAAACCAAGAAAAACACAGGGAATGGACGTCCGAGCGATGACCAGTTACCATGCACGAGCCAGAAATTTGAACTTAGCAGCAGCCTCAAGGATGAAGGGGGCCGTCTTCAAAATGTGGAAATCGCCTTGACGCCGCGCGCATCCTTTCGGAAACTCTGCAACAGACTCCCGAGTTAGTGCTTGCACTGAAGGAGTCCTAGCGGAGGTTGAAGGATTTGGCAAAAGTGTCTGGCCGATTTCGGTAGGCGGCCAGGTTCCTGTTTGCGGGTTCCCCGGTTCCGGGTTGCTGGTTCCGAGCCGATTTCGGTGGGCGGCTGGGTTCCCGGGTCCTGGGTTCCCAGATTCTTGGTCGATCTCCTTATCGATCGGCCTCACCACCGATCTCATTACCCACCTCTCTATATCGATCTCACTATCGATTCCATTATCGATCTCACAATCTATTTCACTATCGATCTCACTATAGATCGCACGAGCTATCTCACGGTCGATCTCACGATCGATGCTAGCATAGTCCTCACGATCGATCCCATTATCGATCTCACAATCGATGTCAATACCCATATCGCTATCGAACGTACGAACGACCCCGGTATCGATCCCACTATTGATCTCACTATTGCTCTCACAATCGATTTCATTATCCAGCCACGGGACACCACGGGCGAACTACATGCATAGCTGCACACGTAGAGAAATCACATGCACATGTGTGTAGACTTACGTTCAAATACGTCATATGTCCTTGCGACCAGGGAGCACACAGTGAAGCTACTAAGCGTTGCGTTTCACTGCGACGTTACAGATATCTTGGGTAGGGCCCGTCTCGGGGTGATCTCGGCGGCCTTTCGTTGATCTTGGCGGCCCAAGATGTCAGGAACACGACTTTCTTGTACGGCTTCGTGGAGAGTTCTTGGGCCATATCGGAGGCTTTCTGGGCCATCGTCAGGCTATGAGAGCCATCTGGGAGCCGTACAGGGCCTCGGGTTCCTCGGCATTCCTTGATTTGGGGCGTTTGCCAATCCCAAGTGATTTCAAACCATCCACCGACTGCGGTTTTTCTTTGGCGTACTCCTGGAATGGGGCGGAGGCTGCGCTCAAGATGTGGATCTCGAAGTCGCGCCGCGCACCTTCGCCCCAACACGCTGCAGCCGCTTCGAGGGTGGAAGGGGGACGGTTTCAGGGCGCGGCTCTCGCCCTCCGCGCCGCGCACGCTCGTCCTGAGAGTTTGCAACGGCTTCGAGGATGGGGGGGAGCGGTCTCGAAGTGCGGATCGCGCCTTTTTTCGGGCCGCGCAGGTTCGTGCAGAAGCTCTGCCGCACTTCCCATGACAGAGCGGGGTGTGGCTCTCAGCCTTTGGATGTCGCCTTGGCGCCGCACACATTAGTCTGAGCATGCTGCAGCCGCTCCAAGGAGGGGGGCGGCTCTAAACGTGGCTCTCGCCTTCACGCCGCGCACGGTCGTCCTAAACAGTTTCAATAGCTTCGAGGGTGGAGGGGGGTCATTTTCAAGTTGACGCGCTCGCCTTAGCGCCGCGCACCTTCGTCTTACGAGCGTGCAACCGCTTCAAGGATAGAGGGGGTCAGTTTCAACATGTGCCATCTGTTTTGAAAGTTTGCAGCCGTTTGCATGATGAAGGGGGATTGTCAACATCGGGTTCTCGCCTCAGCGCCGCGCACATTCGTCGTACCAGCGTGGAACTGGTACGGGATTCTGTGCTGTTCCTTTTCAAACCTGGTTTTCCGTTGGAAGCTTCTCCTTGTGCAAGACCAGGAGCGAGAGCGGAGGCAGCTGCTGCAGTGTTGAAGATCGTCTCCTTTTTTTGAACAGTGGGCGTTCTGTTGAGACTTCTTTCAGTGTAGAGGCCAGACATCAGGAGAAAACACACACAGACACAAGTAAAAGTCGATTCCACAGAAAATATGGGGACACATGGGAAGTGGGGGGGAGACACACACCCAGAAAATATGGGGAATTATGGGGAATCGCCTTATTTGTGTGTATTTAGTTGTGTGTCCCGGGGCCCCTTCACAACAGTGGGCGTTCGGTTGAGACTTCTGTCACTGTTGAGGCCAGACGCTTGAACAGATGGTACAGCTGCACGGATGCAGGGCGGCCCATGCTCAACACGGGGCGTTCGATTGGGATTTCTTTGACGCCCATCGCCAAGCGTGAACTTTTCGTGCAAGGGTTGCACGTGCGGACGCTGCTGTTCAAGGCGGGGGTGTCGCTCGACACCCCGTTGAGCTGTATGATACAAGTAAGTGAGCGCCTTTGGAGACGAGGAGGAGGAGGAGGAGGAGGAGGAGGAGGAGGAGGAGAGAGGAGGAGGAGGCGGAGGAGGAGGAGGAGGAGGCTCTCACTTAAATGGCAGGCGCATCGGGGTGCTGGTCTTTCAAGGGGCTGCGCACTGAAAGGGAAAGGAGGCTTGCAGGAGACTTATGCAAAAGAGACTTGGGACGGGAGGGTGTGTTACAAAATCGTTGATGCATCCTGGGTTCATTATGGTTTTCCTCCTCCTCCTCCCCATCCTCCCCATCGCTGCTCCGCTCCCTCCCCATGCACCTGCCCCCTCCTCCCCCATCCCCTCCCCCCCTTTTCCCCCCCCCCCCCCCCCCTCCCCCTCCCCTCCTCATTTTACTCCCCATCCCTCCTCCTCCTCCGAGCCTCCTCCTCCTCCTCCGCCTCCTCCTCTCCTACACTCGACAGACCTAAGGTTTCTCTGTGATGTTTTCCGTCCTCCTCTTCCTCCTGGAGCCATTTCAGCCCAGATGCGATGCAAGCTGGTTGATCCGTGGCACTCCATAGTAGGCCCGTCCTTCCTCGGCACATGCGCGCGCCGCAGGCAGGTTGGTGGCTGGCCGCCACAATGCAGTTTCCTGCCACCGTTGGGACATACAACCCGTTGGCTGCGAATTCCTGGGACCGACTTCAAGAGATTGCTGCTACTACCCCGAACTTCGACGTGTTGGCCTTGGTGGGAACGAATCAAAGGACTACCCGCGGCACTGCCACTCGGCGGAGGTGCATGGGGACGAGGACTGTCTATGAAGCTGGGTGGGAAGTGTCGCCGTTTACGAACTCTTATTGCGGATGTGTTGTGTTGTGGGGTCGACGTGTTCGGCCTGAGCACGTCATACGGTGTGAGGCCGCCCCCGCTCCGCTTCAGGGGCGTGGCCTCCATTGCCGTGCGCGATCTGGTATCTTCGACATGTCTGTCATTGTATGATACTTTCTTCCTCGGCCGCGGACGTCGGCGGCATGGGGCAATTATGAGTGCACTGTGAGGCTGCTCATGGCGTGGCTGGCCGAGCAGCTGGCGAAGGTGCCGCAGCGGATCACTCCTATTGCTTGCACCAGCCTCAACGATGGCGTCGGCGTGGAGTGTGTCGAGGGCCGATTCGACGGCCGTGATGTCGTTCCCGAGTCTTCGGCCACGAGAGGCTACTTTGCGGGGCCGTTTTTCGCCGAGCTGCTGGACACTCATGGCATGCAGATCGCGAATATGCATGTCGGCTTTGCCCACGCGTAGTCTGGCAATCTGGGCGCGAGCAGCTGCATCGACATGATTGCTCTGCCTGGGGCGCTCGTTCGGGCCACGCGGAGCGCTGGACCTCTCCATCGAGTCAGTCGGAAGCTCCAGCCCATTCGAACAAAGGCCATTCGAGATCATCTGCTCGTTCACGCGGTGTTTCCGTACGCACTAGAGCCTGCATGTCATCCCAGCGCTCGTGAACAGCGGGTGCGCTGGGACATCGGCAGGCTCATGAGATGTCTCCGTGGCGGGCTCGGCCGCTCCGACTTTGTGAATGAGGTTGAGGAGTGTCTTCGCGCTGATGAAGGGCATGTTGCCGAGCTGCTGCGGAGGGGCGCTGCAGATGATGTCTTCGACTAATCCATCAATCTTCTCCGAGATGTGGGCAAAGCACGCTTCGGCGATGGAGCTGGACGTGCGTGCTCACAGATGGCTGATGAACGACTTCGGTTACTCGCGCTTCGTCGGGATCTGCGTCTCCTTCTGGCCGAAGCCCCGGCGGCGGAACGTGGGGCGGGGGTGGCGGAGGCACTCGAGGAGGCCAGCGAGGCGAACTGGGCCGACCTTGCTGCAGAGGGTCGACGCCGACGCGCTGCACTGGTGGACGAGGCGCGCGAGCTGTGGCGCCAGAGGCGAGTTGCCGAGTCCTCTCGTCGTCGCAGGCGGGCTGCGGGCTCGCGCTTCGGGCCCGAGAAGCGAGACTACCTGTTCGGTGTGCGGGGTCGTCGGCTCTCGCGAACAGCTGATTGAGCAGTTCGCGAAGACAGGCCCCGAGGGCGGCACGGCTGCCGCCGAGATTGATGACTGGGAGGCATGGCGCAGTGAGTGCGTCTCCTTCAGGCCGCCGCTGCCGCCGCCAGATTCTGCGCATGCGATCGCCGCGGCAGCTGACTATTTTCTTCCGCAAAGGACTTAGGAAGGCGAGTAAGCGAGGAGCTGTTCCTGAGCGGGCTGTACCACTCGAGCTGCGGCGGATGATACGCCGCCCGATTAGAGGTGTCTCTTGGCGAGGCGCGGGGCTCGGCGCTGCCACTGCGCACATGGAGGCCCCTCTGTTCAATGAATCATTGTTCGACAGTTTTGCGCTCATCCGACGCTCCTCTCGCATCCCTATTCGTTGGCGCCGCAGCGGCGGTGCGCCGACCCCGCGCAAGGCGGGCAAGACCAGGTGGGTTCATCTGCTCGACCCCGCGGAAGATATGGATGGGCGGGGCGAAGGCTCAGCGGGGCGAGGGGGTGGGGGGGGGCGGCGAGCGATCGGGATCGCAGCCCCGTGGCGCGCAGGCGCCGCGAAGGAGCGCTTCCTGTCCAGAGCATCAGCGGACTCGCGTGCCAGAATGCTGGGGAGACAGCACATGACCAACCGCCACGACTTGGCCAATGCTTCTGGGTCGAGCGCGCGGCGTGGAATGCAGGGCGCCGCGAGCAAAATGTTTCTCCCTTCGGCCGTCTTTTGCGGGAAGCAGAGGCATCGGCTTGCGTGCGTGACGTTGGGGGGTGGGTGGGATCGGGAAGTCACTCCCCGTCCCAGCTGTGGCGGCCTGATGGGCGATTCCTTTGCCGTTCGGCATTTCGTTTGTTGTTTCTCTCCTGCGGCCGAGGCCACGGCAGCGCAGGCAGACCCAGTGGGGTTTCCAGCATGATTTCCCACGCGCGCGATGCCCTGTATCGCGTGAGCGACAGGACCTGTCACTCACCAAGTATGCTGACGATTTAACAAACAAGCTCGCACGATCACGTGTTTATTCGTTAGAGAGTCTGGTCGACCTCAGCGTTAGGTCCAACGCCGACCTAGATTGCGAGCTAGAACAGCGCGGGCACGGGCAAAACCTTGATAAGCAGGACACTCTTGTAGGTATATTCGGCCGAGGTGCGGGGCGGGCTCTCGAAGCGCTCCGCTCCGGTGAGCTCACGATTCCAGGAAAGGCGTCTCAGGTTGGTCAGTCTTGGGGCTGGCCTTAATTCGACCCCGATCCGGTTCAGCTCCGAATGCCGAGCGCGAGTGGACGCTATGCGCGTAGGATTGCACTCTCCAGGCAGTTTCTGGTCTCTCTCTGGCGCACCCTATCTTGTGCGCAGGCGTATGCTTCTCAGCAAAATCTATAACACGGCCCTGTCAGGGCTCGAGGCTTGTCTGCTTTCACCAGCCGAGCATGCTAGACTTACTGATGCAGTGGCACAATATGCCCGAAGCGATGAGGGGCAAAGCCTGTGTTCTGTCTGAATCACCCCACCCTGTCCTCCTTAGGAATGAAGCAGGATTAAAGTACTGGCGCATCGTGCCGATGGAGCTTGAGGCTCGGATTCGTCGCATCAGGTACCTCCGAGAGCTCCCGAGGCACCCCAATTCCCACAAACAAGTTCTTGCTGCCCCCTTTGGCTTCCTGCCCTATGCCCCCCCACATGTTCGCCCTCGGGTAGACTTGATGCGCCGGCGAGCCCCTTCTCCAAACGAGCTTGGGTTGATCTTGAGGCGATGTCTGTGATAGATGAGGGGGCTGCGCTGCTGGCTTCGATTGGGGGCCAATGCCAGCTCCTCCTATCAGACCCAGAGATGATCGAGAATTTCTCGACGATCGATGTGCGACAGTTACGGAGTCAATTTCTGTCGGAACGAGCTTCCAATCGTGGATGGGATGTTCCTGCTGCCGCTCCTGAGACCCCCCCGTGTCTGTGCTCAGGACGGTGCGTATCGATGCTGCTTCTCTAATGCTGACGGTGCGGTGCGCGGGGCGTTCTTACCGGGTGAGCGGGGAGTTCGCACTGGCATCAGTTTCGACCTGGGTATCGTGAACCGAGGCATGTTCTCTCAGTGGCTAACGAGTGTTAATGGCGTCGCATTGTGTTCTCGAGTCGCGTGACGTGCCAGAGACATATTGAGCTTTCGCTCGCGAGGGGATTCCGCGACGTTCATGCTGTTCGTCATCTTTTCTCTGTTGTGCCTCCTGCCCTTCTCGATTGTCATCCATGTGATTTCGTCGGCGGCCATTTTGCTCAACTACAGCTGCATCTGCGCGTGCATCTCCGCGGGCCTCTCGGAATGATTCGATCGAGGCCTGGGCGCGGCCATGGGAGCCCCCCCCGACTGGGCGATCAACGCCTCGGCGGCCGTGGGCGGCGGCCAGGAGGGCAAGAAGCGAAAGCTGGCCGAGCAGGCAAAAGTCGAAAGGTGGAGATTTGTCAAAGAACCTCGCCATCGTGCTCACAAAGCTGCGCCTGTCCAATGCGGCGCAACTTCGAGACGTATGTGGAGTGGTGTTCGTCGGCCACCTGGTCGCGGCCGAGCAGGTCGCGGCGGCGGCGGCGAAGCAGGCGGGGATGCTCTACCACCAGGAGATCCAGAAGAGGAAGGAGGCGGGCAGCGAGACGGAGACGCTGGGGCCGCGCTTCGCCCACTTCTGGGCGGCCCTCATCAAGGCTGCGGGCGCGGGCCCGCAGGCGGACATAGGCGCGAAGCAGACCATGGAGAAGTACTGGGGCGGGGTTGTGCTGAAGGTGCAGGTGATCGAGCTGGCCGACCAAGCGCGGCACTGTCGTGTACGCACGATGCGCAAGCAGGAGGCGAAGGGGTGAGAAGCTGCGCCTGACTTTCGGCGTGGACCACCGCTGCGGCGTATTCCGGCAAAGTGGGCCAGAAGTAGCACAGACCAGCGCCCCGTTGCGCTCTGGAGAGGGGCGCGTCGAAGGTGCTGGAGCAGCTCATGGCGTGAGTGCAGTTTTTAGTTCGGACGCCAGTCGAATGGGGACCGGTCTGAGCGGCCCGATCGCAGTGTCGACCGCCAGTCGAGTGGGGACTGGAATGAGAGTTGCTGCTCCAGCGTCTGTGAGTGCCAGACCGACGGGAGGCGAGGGCTCCCGCCCCAGCGGGGGCCAGTGCGCCCAGGGAGAGGTGCATAGCTGTGCCTGCCGTGTTCAAGACGTCGGCCCGTTTCAGGGCCCTAGCTGAGCGCGGAGAGCTCTTCCCCCTTCCTCCCTCGTCCTCGAGTTCTGCGACTGCTGATGCTTGCCCTCCCCCTGGTCCCGCTCCTCAAGACTTCTCACTCTCCGAGGGTGTTATCTTTTGTTTTAAAAAAGCGGTGTCCCAGGAGGCGAGAGGATTAGTTTTGTGCCCGAGGTCCGAAAGGAACATATATAAAACATATTTATATATATATATATATATATATATGTGTATATGTATATATATATATATATATATATGTCCCAGGCCGAATGCCAGCGGATTTAAACAGCGAGAGAATGGCGGTGCCATCCCCCCCCCTCACTGGCATTTCCCAGTCTCAGGGCGGGTCGAGGCCCGAGTGAGTTCCGCCTGCAGCGCCAACCGCTGTGGGAAGCTGCATCACTGATGCCACTCAGGTGCTAGTTTCTTTTCCAATTTTATGTGTAGGCACATGCGATAGCACCCCAGAGTTGCCTTGCCTTGCCTTGCCTCCTCCTCCTGGTCCTCCTGGTCCCCCTCCTCCTCCTCTTCCTCCTCCTCCTCCTCCTAGTCCTCCCCTCCCCTCCGGCCGCAGGCGCCTCGGGCCTCTGTCCAGGACCGCCTCCGCTGGCGCGATCAGGCAGCGCGACCTCAGGGTATGCAAAACGAAGAAGACCACGAGGAGGAGGAGGAGGAGGAGGAGGAGCAGGAAGAGGATGAGGAGGACCACGAGGAAGAGGAGAAGGAGGAGGAGGAGGAGGAGGAAGAGGACCACGAGGAGGAGGAGGAGGAGGAGGAGGATGGGGGAGGAGGAGGAGGACGAGAAAGAGGAAAGAGGAGAGGAGGAGAGGCAAGCAACAGGAGGGGGAGTCGGAGGGAAGGGGAGGGAAAGGATGAGGTAGAGGGACTACGATCATCATGCCGAAGATGAGGGCAGCGGGGGAGAGGAGGGGACTCGTGGATAGGAGGACGGGGATGGCGCACGTTGTCTCCGCAAAGCTCGGGCCCGCGTGGCCCCCGCACAGCTTCGCAGCACGGGGTCCTCGTGCCGCCCGGCGGGCATGCCCCGCCCTGGCCAGGCCAAAATCAGCGGACCCGCGCGGAGGCCGTGCAGGGAGCGACCAGTCGAGAACTTCATCGGAGACTCGTTGCGAG